TAGAACACTTTAGTGCATGAATTATAAACAAATAGATGGAAATGCACTGACCAGTCACAGACGGGGTTGAGACAAGAGCTTTGGGGTGGGAGGTGTGAAGAGGTCACACATAGCTGGGTTTATGGACCATTTCAATTGACTTCAAGAGCATCCTACCTCAAGGTAAACCATTCTCCTTTCTCTTCCTTTCTCATCACACTGAGTATTTTAAGAGGAGACAGAAGTGTGAGGTATGAATTTGTTTCTAGTTAATCCATGCCAAGGCCCCAGGCCCAGGGCTGGTCACAGGAGGAAGGTGGCCTTTTGAAGCTTTGAGCTGCTAAACCACAGGAAGTGAAACTTGGTCACCAGTAAACAGGTTTGGACCACTGAAGTCATAATTATCGTGCAGAAGCTTCTTTTGTTGTTGTTTTTTTTTCCCTTAGAGTTGGGTGTAAGGAAGAAGAACTTATTTTTCTTTTAAGATTAGGAATGTGGAAAAAAACATCTTTTAAAAAAAATCACTTCTAGGACGACTGGGTGGCTCAGTCGGTTAAGCGTCTGCCTTCGGCTCGGGTCATGAACCCAGGGTCCTGGGATCGAGTCCCACATCGGGCTCCCTGCTCTGCATGAAGCCTGCTTCTCCCTCTGCCACTCCCCCTGCTTGTGTTCCCTCTCTCGCTGTGTCTCTCTGTCAAATAAATAAAATCTTAAAAAAAAAAAAGATTTATTTCTTTTTCCTTCTGCCTTCGGCTCAGGTCATGAACCCAGGGTCCTGGGATCGAGCCCCGCATCGGGCTCCCTGCTCGGCGGGGAGAACTGCTTCTCCCTCTGCCTACTTGTGCTCTCTCTCTGGCAAATAGATAAATAAAATCTGAAAAAATTAAATAAATGAAAATAATAAAAACCACTACCTTTCCCAGGCGTCTGGCTGGCTCAGTCCGTGGAACATGCGACTCTTGATCTCGGGGCCACGAGCTGGAGCTCCACTTTGGGTGGGGAGCTTACTCGATAATTACATAATGCTAAAAACCATCTTACATGATTTCACTATCCAACCCACAGCCATAGCAGTGGGTCCACCATCCCCATTTTACAGATGGAGAAACCGAGGCTAATTTGTCTTGAGTCCAAAACACATACTTTTTTTTTTTTAAAGATTTTTATTAATTTATTCATGAGAGACAGAGAGAGAGAGGCAGAGGGAGAAGCAGGCTCCCAAGGAGCAGAGAGCCCGATGCGGGACTCGATCCCAGGACCCTGGGATCATGACCTGAGCCGAAGGCAGACGCTTAACCATCTGAGCCACCCAGGTGCCCCTAAAACACATACTTTTTACATCTCTCCTAAATTATGTCCCTGAGCTGCTCAATAACCACCTGCCAGGTAAAGTGAGAAAAAGGCCCCAGGTAGGCCAGGCGCTACTTTGGAGGGCACTCTATCCCCAGGCCTTTGAGAAAAGCAACCGGTTATCGGATTTCTAATAACCCAGCGCTGATCAGAGCAGGAGACACCCCCACCTTCGCCCTCCACCTTTCCCACCACCGCCCCGGCTGGCTGCTGGAACTCATGACTTGAGGTGCAGCTCAGGCAGGGGCTTGGGGGCCAGGGGCCTGGGACTTCTCCACCACGCATAACCCTGCCAGCGCAGAAATGCCGTGGAGACCAGGCTGACAAAGTCTCACTACGTGCCATCTGACTTCAAGCAGATAGGGACTTTCTTTGTGGGCACTGGAAGGGGCGGTGAGGAGAGCTGGGAGCAGAGGCACCCTTGGGACCCACATGTCCTATCTGTCGAGGGGCTGGTCTCTGCCATATTTGAAAGCCCCACAACAACCACTGCTTTCTCTGCTCTGGTATTTAGCTTTTTATCTTTGTAGTTGTATTGTTTTTAACATAATTCACTATCTTTTCTTAAAGTTTCAAATTCTTGGAGTGTCTGGGTGGCTTAGTTGGTTAAGGGTCTTTCTTTGGCTCGGGTCATGATTCCAGGGTACTGGGATCGAGCCCCTCATTTGGCTCCCTGCTCGGCGGGGTGTCTGTTTCTCCCTCTCCCTCTGCCCCTCCCCCCCGCCCCGCCCCCAGCTTGCTCTCTTGTTCTCTCTCTCAAATAAATGATCTTTAAAAAAATTTTTTTTTAAGTTTCAAATTCTGTGGGTCTCTAGAAACAGAAGAGAGGATGGCTGGAGACCAGGGCCTGAGGGCATGCTGGGCAGTGATCCCAGAGCGAGGGAAGGGAGGCTGGGGGCTGGGGTCCTGCAGGGAGGAAGGGCCGGTTCCGCGCTCGGGAGGGGAACGGTCCACGTCCTCCACCAGCAGGGCTATAGGAAGCAAAGAAGTCTCAGGCTAGATTAGAGCCTAGGACAACTCCACTCCACTCTCCATCACTTTCACTCTCAGGATTTTTTTCCTCCAAGGCACAGGGAAGAAAGACCAGAGAACATCATCGGTCCAGATCCAAGAGCGGTCAACTCTCGCCCCCTGGTGGTCCCACCAGGGAGAGCAAGCTACAACTGAGGCTTGTGCAGTAGGGGAAGAGGGGAGGATGGCGTCTCAGGGGCCAGTGCTCTGGACAGGAGGTGCTCAGACACAGTCCTGTAGCCCCTGGAATCCTAGGGAGCCCTGGTGGCTAGGATGGAGGAGGTGGAGAGGAAGGGGTTGGAAGAACGAGAGAAGGCGAAGGAAAAATGAAAGGCAAGAGAGAGAAGGTGGGGAGGGTAAGGGGCAGGACTCTAAGCACTGTGGAGAGGATCTGGTGGCATTCAGAAACCAGCTGAGAATTGCTGGCCTGGAGGATGCTGGTGTGTATTGGGGAAGTGGGCTCCTTTTCCATCTCATGCAGCTCAGGAGTCTGAGCCCCACTGATGGGTCTGCCCTGCATTCCAAGCTGCTCTCTAAACTCAATGTCTTGGTCCCAGTTGCTCTTCCCTTGAGGGAGTTGAGTGAAACCCCCTGGCTTGGCCCCCTAAGGTGGTCGTATGCATTTCCCATAGCTACTCACCTGCCTGCAGCCAGCCTGCGCCCCGTCCAGAGGGTTCTGGCCCACAGAGGCAGATGCCAACGGGCAGTGCCCCTTCCTGCACCTGCGAGCTGCAGGATGCGGTCAGGAGAGGAAACAGGGCCTCAGGCTCCGAGTCATTCTGGGGTTTCCAAAAAGCTTCTTGCTGAGGGCATCAACAGGGCACTGTCTGGGCCACTGAGAATCGACTCATTCTCTTCACCCAGCCCACGGAGGGAGGCGGATGGGAAGGGGAGGGTAGACAAAGTGAGTGAGCCTCATCCTCTGCTAGGCCCAAGGGCCCGAGGGCACCTGAGTCAGCAGGACCATGGGCAGGGAGAGCTCTGGGGTGCCCCCTCCCCGCAGTGTGTGGGGGAGTGCTGTTCCCAGCTCAGAGGCAGCTGCCCACCCGCCATGAGGCTTTCAGAAGCTAAACTATGGAGTTCCCAGCTTTTCCCCCTTCTCCCCTCTGGCAAGGACTCAGAAGCTCTTCCCAAGACGCCCCCGCCACTTCCCAGGACTAACCATCTAATGGAGAAGAAAGTGAAAAGGACAGAAACCTGTTGGACGCTTGGTGGCCTCTCCCAATGAGCACCCCTCTCCCTCCTGCCATAGTCTGAGCTAGTCAGTTCCCCGTGAGGGCTCTGGTTTCTGCTTCCAGAACACCTGCTTCCCCAGCCCTGGCTTCTTCAGACCCTGCTCAAACCAGTCCCAGGCTCTGTGCTCAGAGCCATGTGGCAGCAACTCAAGCTACAGCCTAAGAAGGGCAAATACATTTTGCTTGACTCCTTTTGCATTTTTAATAAAGGAATCAAATGCATACATATCAGAATATTTCACATAAACATTTGGATTTCCAGCTTTTGTTTTTAAAATAGAAGCCCTTTTCTTGTGACATTTGCAGTGCTGGCTGCCTGGAGACAGCCTCGGTGTTGGACTTTGCCATAGTCTCCACCATGCCCTTTTGTGCGTCTCCCCTGCTCCCACCACACATGCCAAGGCGAGGTCCATAAATCAATTTGATTCTATTCTGGGCCTACTGGAATGGCAAAAACTGCTATTTTCTCAAGCAGAATCCTGAAGGTTTAGGGGAGCACCAGAGAGCAGGATAAGGGCTGGCATCTAGCTGCTCTAGCCCCCAGGGGGGGGGGGCCTGGACTCCTGCTTCCTGGATATGTGTGTGTGGTGCGTGGATATGTCGAGGCTAGAAACTTGGGCCTGGGCATCCCACCTCCCAGCCCTACTACCACCCCACGGCAGTGCATGAACTAGTGTTCAGGGTTCTGGCTGCTCAGGACACACACTATTTTCCTTCACATTCCCAGGTTGTCACACCTCTTTTTCCTGGCCTCTAAAAGCCACTTCTCTGCCCTTGAACCTCAGGACCCCTGGCATTGTCTCAGGAGGCTTGGGGCTAAGGTCTTCAGGAAGCTTCTGCTTTCCTCCCAGAGTAAAGGGAGGGGTGAATGGGAAGGGAGAAGGAATGCAAATCAATGTTTCAACAAGCTGTCCCATTGCATGACTAATATAATAATGCTTACCTTCAAAGGCACTTTACCCTCTGTCTATCCCTTAAATGTTCCCAGAATTCCACCATCCCTCCCCCAATCCCCCATCCTTTTTTCATTTTACACACCCTTCCTGGGTGATTTCACCCACTCCCAGAGCTGCAGCTCTGTAGTGGCTCCCAAGCCTCTTTCTCCAACCTTCCTTGTGCTTTAGAGCCCATCCCCCCCCCCACCAGGCTGTGTCCTCAGGTGAACACATCTTACGCTGAACCCTCAAGCTAGAAACCTGGGAACCCCTTGACTCTTCCCCATTCCTCCCTGCCATGTCTTTACTCAGTCAATTGTGAAGTCAAGCAAGGTCTACCTCCTAAATAGCTCTGTTTCTAAACTCTCCCCACTCCATTTGCTCATTCCTCAAAGTGATCTAAAAGTGACTCTGCCTAGGTTCTGAATTGACAGTTTTCAGTAGTGTGATTTTACGTGTCAACTTGGCTAGGCCTGTGGTACCCAGATATTTGGACAAACATTATTCTAGATGTTTCTGTGAAGGTATTTTTATTTTTATTTTTTTAAGATTTTATTTTTAAGTAGTCTCTTCACCCAACACGGAGTTCAAACTCACAAGGCCGAGATCAAGAGTTGCACACTTCACCACTGAGCCACCCAGGCGCCTCTGTGAAGGAATTTTAAAATGGGATTAACATTTAAAGGAACAGTAGACACAAAGTAAAACAGATTATCCTCCATGATATGGGTGGGCCTCATCCAATCAGTTGAAGGCCTTAATAGAAAAAAGACTGACCTCCTCTGATGAAGAAGGAATTCTGTAAGCAGAGTGCCTTTGGACTCGAACTGCAATCTTCTCTGGGTCTTCAGCATGTCAGGCCATCCTGCAGATTTTGGACTTGTCAGCATTTCCAATAGCATGAAACAATTCCTTAAAATAAATCTCTTTCTCTCTCCATCTCTGTCTCTCTCATATATATATCCTATTGATTCTATTTCTCTGGAGAACCTTGACGAATACAAGTAGCCTCTCTTCAGCTTCAGGATAAAAATCTTAAATCTTGGGCGCCTGGGTGGCTCAGTTGGTTAAGCGACTGCCTTCGGCTCAGGTCATGATCCCAGGGTCCTGGGATCGAGTCCCGCATTGGGCTCCCTGCTCTGCGGGGAGCCTGCTTCTCCCTCTCCCACTCCCCCTGCTTGTGTTCCCTCTCTCGCTGTGTCTCTCTCTGTCAAATAAATAAATAAAATCTTTAAAAAAAAAAAAAAAAAAAAATCTTAAATCTTAGCTAACCCACACAGCTCTTCAGTCAACTTAGTTCATATAGTGCCTTTGTACGAATGAGAGAAAGTCACCGCCTCTAGGCACGACCAGGGCACACAGTTTGGTGGGTGGAACACGGGTGAGTCCTCCCTCTTAGTATGGCACACAACCTGGACAACCGTACAGAGCAGCCCTGCTTCCTGATGAGCCTCTGTCTGCCACTTTAGCCTTGTCTTTGTTTTCATTCTTTTCCCTCCTCCTCATCCTACACTCTTAAGTTCCCTGCAGCTCCTAGAACCTACTGTGCTTCTTTGTCATTATGCTTTTGTATATCCCGTCATTGCTGCCTCAAGATCCTCCTTACACTTCCCAAACTCCCCTGGCACTGCCTTCTCCCGCTTTGCGACCCTCCGTCTGGCCCAGTCTCTTCCTCTCCTCTCTGTCGTCTCTGTCTCTGTCTCGGCCCTGGGTTCTAGCCCTTACTTCATTCATACTATTGCTACTTGATTACTCGCCTCAATTGGGGAATCATCCAGGGAAGAATTTGAACTGTGATCCACCGTGCTGAGCACTAGTAGGTGCTCAATAAGACTCTTGCACAGACGAAAGCGGGGAAGAGTGAGTGAATGGCTGGCTGGCTGCAGGGGCACGAGGCCAGGGCAACAGTAGGAGGCGCTTACCGGGAGTGGGCTCCTTTCCTAGCCGGGCCGGAGTTCGGCCAGCCGGCGCCCAGCGGGACGACTGGGCTGGGGCCGGACGAAGGGGAGGCAATTCCGGCCGCGCCAGCGCGCGGTGGCCCCGCAGCCAGCGCGGTGCACAGCGAGGGAGAGGCGGACCGGCGAGGAGGGGGGCAGGGGCCTGCGAGGGAGCGGCGCGGCGCCCTCTGGCCGGCTTCTCTCATTCTTTCACCCCGGGGTCCCCAGGAATGGAAACGGCCCCCGGCCGGGCCGGAGCGCGCGGATGAAAGGCGGCCCTCGGCCGGAGCGCGGAGCCTCCTCCCGCCCGGGCGGCGGAAACTGGCAGCGCGGGGGGTGTCCCGCCACGCCCGCGTCCCAGAGCGGGAGAAGGGGGCAGCCTCGCCCCCTCGGGCGGGGTCCCCCAAGGATACGCATTCCTGCTGGCATCTTACCACCCCGACCGGGGGCCCCGCCCCGACTCTTGGCTCGGAATCTCGAATCCCTTCTTGCGTCTTTCCCCTCTTTCCTCTGGGCCTTGGTATGCCCCAGGGGACAGATGTCTTGGGATCTTTAACATTTGGGATGCTGCAAATGCCGAAGTTAAATGAAATACCTCCCGGGAGGGAAGGCCGGGGGGAGACTCGGGGAGAGAGGAGATGGCCTGGACAAACAGGTCCTGAAGCTGCGAGGCAGGAACGGGGGGCGCGGGGACAGGCGGGCTGCGCCAGAGCTCCATGGGACAGGTAAGGGGGAAAACTTAGGGGGACGCAGCGCGGGTGAACTGGGGGGTTCAAGCTCCTGAACCCATGGTCTTCGGCCTTAGCGGAACTGGCCCTACAAGGAATGGAGTAATTTACGAAAGGGGTGGGAATTTCAAGTTCCTTCCCAAAGTGCACATTTCCGACTCCTCAACCCCTCTCCTCCGACCTTCCCCATGCCTGTGGATCCCCTGGCCAGGTTCCGGGAAGCCAGAAAGCAGCCAAACAAAAGGAGCAAAGTCTGGGGCCGCCTGGATGCGGAGGGCGCGGTGGGGGAGGGGAGCAGGGTGGACCGGACAAAGGGCCTTTTTAAGGAAAGCCTAGAGGTCTGATTTCAGGGCGCATTCCAGGCTAGAGTGGAGTTCTCCTGTCCTAGCCCACTCCACCATCGCCTGCTGGAGGCGAACACCTTTCCCAGTGGGAAGAGAAAAGAGTGGAGAAAGAAAACAGTTCAGGAGCCCTCTCCCACCAGCCTTCTCCTAGAGGGTCCCGGGCTACTTGGCTTCTTTCTGCTCCGTTGACTCCGGCCGCTGACCATTGCTTTGTTAATTCATTAAGTGGGGTTTTAGGAATGCCTGAGACTTACTTGGCTGGGTGCTGGTGGCAATGTGAGGATGGTAGGATGAGGCCCTTGCTTTAAACAACTTCCAATCTCACCTACGGGAAGAAACTTAAAGAAGGGACTTTAAAAAAATGTTGGAGTGGATGTCTAGGGAGTGTGGAAGTTTCCTGATTTGGGGCTTGTGCTTGGGAAGTGAAAACCTGAAAGAGATGCAGTTTTTCTCCTTTCAACGATCAGATATCAAGTACTCTGACACCGTTCAAGAAAACCACTTCCTCCACCACCAAGTGGTGGTCTTGGTGTGGATGCTCTGGGGGTTGGGGCAGGGCATCCATCAGTCTCTGGATCCCCTAGGCTGGCTGGGAGGGAGGCACTTAACCCCAAAGTTCCCGGCCAGTTTCTGGGGTACCCACCTCCCTTTTGGTAGTTTGAGTTGACAGACATGGCAGACAGTGAGATCCGACCCATTGGATCTGGGGTTCTTGGGAGAGTTGGTTTGCTGGTCCCATCCCAAACCTCACATTCTGCTGGTCAGGAAATGCTGCATGTGAATTTGAGGGAACAAGGGAAGGGGTTTTTGAGAGTTCCAGGGGATCAATGCAGTGAGTGGATTATCTGTGTTTCTCTCCTCTGAGCTCAGAGATGGGGGGTTCCCTGATGGTGGGGTTCTTGACTGGGTCCTGGGCACCAAAGCATCTGTGGATAGAATTCAGAGGGTTTGTGAACTTAGATGGGAAAAAAATATTTTCATTGCACACCAACCTTTAACAAAAATTTAGCATTGTCTTCAGTTAAGAAGGCAAGAAACCATAGGCAGCACCTGTGACTTTGCCGTTAATAGAATTCACAGATAGTTTTACATTACATTGCAGTTGTAACTGGCTTGAAGTATTGTTCACATTCATCACTTCTATGAAATTACTCACTGCTGGATCCTGTTTAATGTTAATAAAGAAGCGTATATATTACCATGTTTTCTGTTTTTAGAACTGTATTCAGTATAATTGGTTCTCTTAATTTCCTTTTGGGCATTAAAATACATGCTATCAGCTGGTTCTAGAAACTTCCATCAACCCCTACCTGGAGCTGGGGGGTGGGCAAGGTGGAGGAAGGGGACCAGTTACACTGAGTCAATCTCTCTCTGTTTGTCACTGAAAGAATGTGACAAGCCTATTGGGGGATGGGGAGGACTAGGAGGAGGGAAGGACTGCAGGCTCTTTTGGGAGACCAGACTGAAAGCTGGCTCCACATCACAGGAGGGGCCCGCCCCCTACTGGGGCCCCTCAGCCTCAGCCTGGCGAGAGAAGGCGGTGGCCAGCCTGGCGGACTCTGGGGCTGGCATTGTTTGGAAAGAGGGTGTGTATAGGAATGTGAAGGTGAGCGGGGTATGTGTGTATGGACTCTGGGGACAGAGTCATAGACACAGCTCAGCTCCACAGGAGATGCTTGGTGGAGCAGACTTCTTCCATCATCCGGGCCCTGGGGACTGGGGAAGGGGATGGGGTTAGGAGGTGGGGATGGACGTATGGGGCTGGAGGAGGGAAGCAATCCAGAGAGATGTTGAGGTGCCGATACCCCAGGGTTAAGGGGCGCAGTGGGAGTATCAGAGAGTGGGAGAAAGGGAGATGGTGGGATGAAACGTTGAGGGGTGTAGTCCTTAATTTACAGTATGTCTCCGTGTTGTCCATGGTGTAGCAACAGGTGGCCTTAGCCCTTGCTTCTCCCAGTGAAATGGGCTAAGTTGTGAACGGTTTTTGGTTTGCTTGAGGATCGACGGAGTGGGAGACCTGGAGGTTTATTTTCTGTAGAGAACAGGTTCCCTTTTGGTCTCTGATCCCTCACGTTCGGGGAGCGGACTTAGATGCTAGTGTCACAGTGGCTCTCCTGTGGAGCAGGGGACAGGACTGGGGTCCAGCTTAGTGCTCCACGGACCCTACTGAGGGATGCGTGCAAGTAATAAATAGGCCTTGATGATCCTGGGGGGACATGTCTAGGATGGAAAGAGAGAACACCCTTGCTCTCTTTAGGACCCTAGAGCCTTCCCCTCTGGGGTTCCATAGTTACTGCCTTGCCCGAAGCTTTTTGAAACCTGATTTGGGAGAGCCAAACTCAGGCCTTGGTTTCCATTTCAGTGTATGGAAAGAGCAATGACCTCTTCTTTGTCACTTGTCAATTTCTTGCTGGTATCCCCATGGACAGTGGACCTTCACCCTACTTCTGGGGGTCTTGCAGGCCTTGATTTCTGGAAAGGGAAAAGGAGGCTCAGGAGGGCAATTGTGCACCTAACCGCTCACCGTGTTGCATTAGAGTCCCTTGAGGCCATGAAGACATGACCCCTCTTGCCTTCTTTGGGGTTCCTCCATGGGGAGCCCCTTTCTCCCTACTCCCCGCCCCTCCCCACCCCCGGAAGTGCAGAGGCCCCAGAGCTGCCTGCTGGCAACAGCCTCAGCAGGATTAGTTCAGGGAAGGACTTGCTCACCTGCTCCTCCCCTCTGACTCAAGTCCTAACAAGTCACCTGGTTCCCCTGGCCCGGCAGGCAGCCTAGGAGGCCGGCAGGCGGGACCGTCCACAGGGAGGGGAGGCCATCGGCAGCGAGTGGAGAGCGGGAGCCAGGTCAGAGAGGGAGCACTGGAGGCTGGCCTGTGGCCTGGGACACCCTGAGGCGGCATGCAACACCCCTCAGCCCCCTGACCTGGGAACAGCGGGTGTTTCCGGAATCCTGGCCCGGACCCCAGAAGCAGGTGAGGGCAGGGCAGGGTGGAGCAGGTCTTTGGGGCTGAGGGGCAGGCTGGCCCCGGTGGTGGCGGGGGGAGCCCCTGCAGGAGCTGGCACCCCCCCCCCCCGCCTCCCTCCTTGTGTCTCGGGCACGGGATGATGGAGGGGTTGCTGGTGGGCCCAGATGAGGAGCCCCTTGCCGTGGTTTTGCTGTAGTTCTCAGGCCTCAGTCTCTACAGGAGAAGGGGAGAGGCCTAGGAGCTGACTTTGGGGGTGCATTTGTGATGGGGGGCTCCTCAGTGTCTCAGCCTGAGGGACGCTGCGCTAGTGTTTCCCTTCCTCCCTCTTTGCCTCTTCTTTCCTCCTCTGCCTTTTCCCGGGGATGTTGTTCAGTCAGGTGGACGGCTTGCTAGGACCCAGGGCTGGGGCTTGCCGCGGGGGGGGCTGAGGGTCTGGAGGGCGGGGAGGGATTCCTGTGTTGGGAAGGGGTTGGGCATGTGCCCCAAACTGCCTTTATCAGAAAGCAATGCCTGAAACATCAGGCTCCAGAGACTTCTGCCCTGTTGATGGAGGCGGGAGCTAGGCAGGGAGGAGGGTGACGGCTACAAGGCCGTGTGGGGTTCCTGCCCAGCCTGATGTTGTCCGAGGGGGTCCAGATTCAGAGAGGGGAGCCGAAAGGGACTTCCCTAGACACTGTCTAATCTTTGTGCCTACGAGGGAAGAAGGCCCAGCCAGGCCAGGCGACTCTCTCAGGACAGCATGGGCAGTGGCTGAACTAGGACTTGAGTCTCCCAACTTCAGGTGCTGTGCTCTTTGCTCTACTTGTGCCACAAGTTAGCCCCGAGTGTGCCCAGCATCAGATTGGGGCCACTGTGAATGCCACAGCCAACCCCTTGACCCTGGCAATGAATGCTGGAGGAGAGGGGGGCGTGCCGGCGTGGGGGCTCTCCTCTCACACCCACCCCTCTGTCCGGGTGACTCTACGCTCTGCAACAGTCAAGGAGGGAAGCAGGGCTGAGTTATCACAACTTCCCAAGGCAACGTCTTCGTGGTTAATAATTAATTAGCAAGTGTGACTAATTAATGGCTTCACTCACACATTACCTCCTCCCTTGTCCAAAGCAAAATGCGCTCACCATGCGAGCTCAGAGGGCCTTGCTTCCTAGCTCGGGCTGAGCCCTGCCCCTGGCCGCTGGGGAGGCTTAGAGGCTGCCTGTGGTGCGGGGGAGCTGGGTGAGCTGCCTG